AATTAGCATAATATTTTCTCTGTTGAACATCTCCTTGTGAATTTAGATTTCGTCCATGTCATTGTTTCATTGTGTCAAATACATGTATCGTTACAGCCCTACAGGAGCAGTATGCAGCCCACATTAGTTAATGTTGATGTACCGTATCTTTTTATACATTAGCTATATAACTTTATGTGGCCTGTACTGTCATTGTTTGTCACAAGCAAAAACGTAACTTGGGAATAACAGTATGTAACTGCATGTACTGTCCCCTCAATCTCTCACAAAGTTTAACTGTATTACAACATGCCTCGATATTTAATGAAAATAGGTAGCTTGCATACCCAGCTAGGTGGCAGATAGCTGGTGAGAAAGTGAAACTAACCCATGAAACTTACAGTAGGTAGTGTTCACATGGGATTTAGTTCATTATGATTGTTATATTTTTTTATTAATTTATTTTACATATTTATGTTTACAAAATGCAAGTAAGTATCTTGTAATGTTAACCAGACATGTCGACAGACATACTGCCTTTAGTTTACAGCTGTTGTGTTTATGATGTCATTTAGTAATAAATTTCAAAACAAATTCTGTGCGTGTGTATCCAACACTAAATCTTGTGTGAGGGGCGAAGAGATTTCTGTAATTAGATAACCTTTCTTTGTGCTTCCTTTCTAAGTGCCTACAGTATAAGTGTTTGACGTGGTCCCAGCCATCTCAGTAAGCGTTGCATTGCAGAATTTATATGCTGCTGTGTGTTTTCTTTTTGTTTTGCATATGAACACTTTGTGGTTTAGGCAGCCAGATTTTATTACAGAACATTTAGCTAACATATCCTGCCACTCCCAGACAGCCACAGCTTCTTCTCCTGCCTCCCGCAGTCACTTTCTTGGAGTACGATTGGGGTGGGGGGGGCAGCGGGGGTAAAGTTACCGTTAAAAACACACACTCTTGAAAGGGTGTCCAGTTCTTTCACATTTTTTTCAGTTGATATGATTCATGAGTTTTCTTTTCTCATCATGTAAATGTTAGCAATGTTTATTTTTTTATGTAATGGATGTTTATCTGTTTTCTTTGGTTTGTGGATGAATGTCACTAAAAGAAGGATCCAGTGGATAATATCAGATAAAGGCCTAGTGCACGCATTTAATTTAATTCTGTATCTTTACCAGAGTTCACTTTAAAAAAAATAAATAAAAATTCAGTAATAACGTTAGCTGCCAAATTTCCACAAGATGACTGCAAAGTTTGGGTCATACTGTTAACTAAATAAATAAGCCTTGATCAGCGCTGAAATTCATTGGTGGTTTTTAAAATGACCTATTCATTGACTGCATTTGACACCTGGTATAAACAGTTTTGTTTTAAAATTAAAACCCCTCTGTCTGTGTGCGTCTGTGTTGCGCCGCATCCTCTGCAATGGACTCGTGTCCCATCTAGGGTGCAACCATACTTTGTTCCTTATGCTGGGAACTTCTTGAAAGAAGGATGAATGCAGAATCTCCTCATTCTTATCTCAGCTACTGTATTTGAACCAACCATATTGCTGATGCAACAGATATCTACCGCTGCTAACAGAGCATGCAGTTTATAGATTGGCAAAGCTTATTGTTAGACTTTCTTTTCTAATATTGCTTTAATTAACTTTCTCTCCCCCCTCCCCCCCCCTTTGTCAGAATGAGGCAGTGGGCTAGACGGGAAGCTGAACGGTTGATCAAAGAGAGAGAGGCTGCTGGTCTTCCTCTGATGGAGGAGAACTACTATGATCCCAGAAAGATCACATTGCCATCTAATGGCGATGAAGAGTAACTCTGACTGGTTTTTGCTTTACAGAATGGATTTCAAATTATCTGTCTCAAACTTTCTCTTGATGTGTATAAAATTTAAAATAGAATGATATACTATAACTTTGTGTCATGCTTCATTATTTTGAAGAACATTTACTGAGCTTATCAATAGTTGATTAATATGTGCCCATTTCTTCATTTATGACATCTGATAATTCTACAAGAAGAGATTAGTAAAATTCAAAAGATCAAAAACACAGTAGATCAAAATGGCTTACAAATAGGTATTTCTCCTAAGCATATAGTTAATTTCAAGAGATCAAAACATACAAACCATAACATGGTACAACAAAAATACGCAACGATTAATGCTTTTTGTTAAACACATAACTAACTAGATATAAGAACATAATATCTACTTCATTCACCAGAGTTTAGGAAATTTCAAGAAAATCTAATTAGGTTATAATTACACAGACCAAATAATTCTACAATTAACATATCATGGAATGAAATTACTTTTTTTTACTTGAATGTTGACATATCTATAGGCTTGTGATTCAATGGGACTGGGACTGAGGTGTGACTGGAGGGAAAGGGTAATGTCCAGGGAGTGTTCTGGATCTTGGAATGCTGGACGGTGAAGATGGGACATGGGTCCTCCTGGGATATTGTGCCCCTGTCTCCCCCTCTGGGAGATGGAGGTTCGGCCAGCCCCTCTCTTGGGCCCCAGCCGATATGTATTTAAAAAAAATTGTGTGTTAGAATATCATATCCATAAATATATCGAGCGATTTGTACAGGTGAAACGTATTTTGCACATTTGTGGATCACATTACATTTGTGGATTTTTGTTCACTTCGTACTGTAGCTGATCTGTAGAAAAAAAAAATCACAAATACGTCACTATCCACAAATACAGACATGGGCAAATTTGTTAGTATCCTTCCACAAAAAAACAAAAAAAAACATCTATCTTTTCTTAAGATTGAAAAAATGAGAGATACTCTGGATCCTTAGGGAAGTTTGATTTGGTGTGGCAGCCCATTATTTCATAGGTGGAACGGTTGACAATGCCTATATAATGGATATTGTGTGGAAAATATTTAATTAACTACTGTGGACTGACTTTCTTTTTGTATTCTTTTAGTCCTTTATTTTTTGTTGCTCCTTTTTCCTGTGTATTCCTGTCTGTGTCATTCCCCTGATGTGTTTACGTATGCTGTTGTAAAACTTAATACTACTGTGACAAAAAAAACATGGCCTAGCCAGGAAATCTTTCAAGGTTTTGCTTAATTCACCCACAAAATTAGCTTTATACATCTGATAAAACTTAGGGGTTAACCTTGTCACAATATAATGTGCATTTCACTCTAAAATGGCTGCCCATATCCCTGTGACCAAGGTCATTACCTTCTGTCATTAACTTTCGGCAATAAATGACATGAACTTTCATTATAAAGAAGGCAATGAAAACAAATTGCTCTGTTTGTCATTATAAACTGAATATGCAGCAGTCAAACGTGCCCTGTCACAATTCCACTCTTCCTCCTCTGCACCCCGGCCTATACAAACTGGCAAAAAAAAATGCTGCTCAACCCTGAATACCCCCCAATTCAAACACCAAAATCAACAGCATTTATGACTAATGCTAAGATTAACGTTATTGATTCCCAGGGGGAAATTCTAGTTCCTACAGCAGCAAGAACATAGTGCACAGGCAAACACTCATATAATGCCAAGTGAAAAACAAAGTGCAAAGAGAGAACACACAGGGCAAACTAATTGTTAAACAGAACACAGGACCCAAATGGAATATCTTGGAAAAACAGAACATTGTAATATTACAGAAATATAAGGAATTAGTGATGGTAATATAGCTAACAGATAACACTGGATTTGTATAATTAAAAGATGGGATGCCTCGTGGCGTGTTATGGCGGAAGATGGGGAATGGCTCAGTAGGAGAAGACATTTTAGTGTCTCATGGCAGCAGGAAGGAACAACCCCTAGTAGAGCTTTTTAACACACTGTGGTGGAATGAGCCATTGGCTAATGTGCCCCCCCTCCTGATGGTACCCCCTCAAGCAGGCAGGCAGAATTGCTCACAGTATCATCCAATTTTCCTAACATCCTCTCTGCTTCTGCCTCCAGTGGCTCCTGGGTCAGTCCTGTGACGGAGCTGGACTTCCTGACCAGTTTGTTGAAGCCTTTGGCATCGCCTGAGCTAATGGCACTTCCCCAGCAGGCCGGCATGCTGGCCATTACGGACTAAAAAAACACAGTCGGCAGCTTGCTGCGCACAAGCCAAGTTTACAAACCACTTGTGTCATCAGTCTCTGCCTCAACAACTTCCACCAGTTGGCATTTTTGCCAAATTCACTAAGTTTCCCCCTGCAATGCAACATCGTGTAAAGGCCAGGCAAGGATATGGTATGCTTAACAGACACAAATAAGCAGAAAAATCAACAAATAACAATGTTTAGTAAGAGAAACTTTAAGTGTTTTAAAATACATATACATTATATCCATATAATGTGACTTCCTCTTTCTTATCTCACGAAAGTCACAATGCATTAGCTTTATGGGTAAATAAGTTTGTGGTCAACACTGTTACCTCACATCCCCAGAAGGTTTGAATTCCAGCTCCACTCTGTGTAAGTGGAGTCTGCATGTTCTGCAAGGTGCTTTCATGCATGTGCCTTGTGATGGAGCGGCGTCCCGTCTAGGGCATGATCAGCAGAAGGGGGTTCAACCAGGTCCCTGATAAGTGAAATATACCCAGGTGACTTCCCCCCATCAGTAGAATATACCTGGGTGGACCCCCCCAATTTGAATCCGAAGAAGTATATCCTTCCCTGCCCCAGCCCTGTGCTTTATGTTGCCTCAAACACACTCCAAGCATCTCATAAAGAAAAATGAAATTAATGAAAATTAAACTTTTGTGTTTGTTTCTAGGCTACTTAGTCATACCTCTGATTGAGGTATGGGAAGAAGACATAGTGGGCTATAACAAGTGACCAAACTGTAAAATACCTAAACTCTTGAGAATTCCCAACCTATAGGCAACAATTTCAAGCCAAAGTAGCTCGTTATAAGCGGGTACAGCAACACCGGCCGTCACGCTTCCTCCCCGTAATTGTGCGGTGTCTTTGCCATCGAATTAATATTGTCCAACTCCTCTTGCTATTGACTTATCGGCCCGTCATTCATCCCAGGCAGGTCCGCTATTGGTTCGCTTGCCGTGGAATAACTTGGCGTTATCGGCGTGGCAGCGCTCTGGGGGCGGGGCTTCAGGGTCAGACAGGAAAAGAAAGGCGAGCGAAGACACCCGAGCCACAAACGGTAAATGGGTCTAAATTTGCTACAATTCAACTGCAGTCTAAGCCGGGGTACATTCGCATGAGGTTTAATAAACCTCGATTTCGAAAACGTGAATCATTTGCGAAATGAATACATCGAATCAACAAAATTAACTCTATTAGTCTTAACTGGCCAAGGGAGTTAGCTAGTTGTGGGTGACGGAAACGGACGGACAACAAGTGAATACAAAGTTCCTTGTTCGTGTTGATAAGTGGCTGTAGTGACATCCCAGGATCTTCTCTGGTAACATTTGCATTCCTCTTAAATTCGGATTTGATTACTCTGACCAGCCGGCGTTAGATAAGTGAGACATGCATCAGTCAGCCGTGTGTCATTGGGTGTCGGCTTGTGTGGCCTCCAGTCTTGCGCTCCGGTGTTTACAAATTGTCCAGATTAGTCAGTTTATGACACTGACATTAAGTAGTAACTAATTCTTTTTGACATCGATAATATCAGAAGTCATATTTATGTGTGTGAGCCTATACATTTTAAATCTGCATTTATGCAACGCATAAAAACGCCTTGTAAATCCAAGTTAGCAAACCAGTTCACTGGCCGGTTTAAAAGCAGGTTTATATTTTCCATCTGATAAATTCTGACATTTTTTACGTTGGTTGGGATATGAAGAACATTCCCAGGCTGGCTACAAATAGCGCTCGTTTTGTGTCCACTTAGAATAGTCCTGGTTATCCTTTAATACAATAATCGATCAGTTATCGAGCCATAAAGACTAAATGTGGTGTTATTCCCAGTTTCGAGCTGAAACTTACTAACCAGCTGTACTGACTGCTGCCTAGATTGTCACGTCAAAGAGGATGGTTTATGAATTCTTTCCCATTCGCCTGGGAAACAGTTTGGCCGGGTGAATTTTCTGGTTTTATGTATTTGAACTGTAACGCATATTTAAATGTAAAAATGTAGTCTGTGAGCTGGCTGAAAGGGGAAAAGGTGTCTGAAGCGGTTTTTTGGGTGCGGCGCGCTGCGTGGGTTCTGCCGACGTAGAGCTGCCGTTCTGAATCGTTTTTAGCTCCTAAAAACAATTTAATTTTTTACAAATTTGAAACAAAGCAGACCAACAGGTTTGGGAAATTATAAAGGTTTTGTTCTATGTGTACATATATAATGTTTACGGTTTAGTTTCTCTGGTGTCTCGCCTTCCGGTCAGGCCTGACTTCCGCATGTGGAGCTAACCGAATAGCCGGTTAGCTTGTTGTCTTCCTAATTTTCGCTATAAAAAGAGAAAAAAACCGAACATCTTAAAAGCTGAGCGTGTCCTATATGTGATACTGTACCGTCGCTGGGAACCATTGAGTTTGAATGTTTTTTTTGGCCCTCTACACGAATTTTAATTAAACTTAAAACTATGATTTAAACGCCAGTGTACCGAGCTCTTAATGTGGTTTGTTAGAAGGTAGCAGTTCGCGTAAGTCCGGGAGAGAACTGGGTCATAATTGTATAAACTCAGAAAAATGTGGAAATGTAATTGTCTTAAGCACATATTTGCTACTGTATTGCTAGCACGTGCTAATACTTTATATTGTCCGTTTATTAAAATAATACGCCGTGCCATAAACATATTTGCATTTAAAATATTATTGTGGTAAAATATCCTCTACATGTTAAACGTACACATTTTGCGGTTGGAGTACAAAACAGATCACCTCACTTATAAGCATGAAGATAATAGTGAATAGGTTTTTTTTTTTATTTTTTAAATGATAAAAAAAGCTTTCTTATTACTTCTCACGTGTAATTTAGTTTTGCCCTGTACGTAGTGTAAACGTAGCATGACTTCCAGATGATATATGGAACCCCACGAACTGTTCATATGTAGGTCAGCCTTTAGTCAAGTTATTTTAGGCCTTTCTAAAACACACACGTAGCAAATTTCTTTTTCAAATGCAGTGATTGGATTCAGTCTATTAATGTTAGCAGTAACTTGTGCTATTCTTGAAAGGTAAACTGCATGAAAGTGCAGTATGCTAATAAATCCCATTGGTTACTTTGCATACATGTTAGCGTTGTGTTTTGTAATTGTTATACTATTCTATTCTCATGTAATATTAGGAGCTCTGTTGCGTGCTGGAACTAGTATTAGGGTATATGTGGTTGTCTGCTAATAAGACCTATGGGTGCAGAATCAGTTTACTGCAGATGCTGATTGGCCTTATTTTTAAACTTCTGATGAGGCTTTTTTTAGGTAGATACTGGAATGGTGCGTTTCCATTAATCATATATTTACTGTATGTGATCAACTGCTTTTGGAATACATATAATAATCGAATGACCCGATTCAGATTGTAACGCAATTCAAGCTAATATTGACAGTAGAGATGCACAGTATATTGGTTAAATATTGGTATCGGCTGATATTAAGTAAATATCAAGATATCTGCATTATTTTAATGTCTTGGTTGATATTGCCAGCCCGTATTTACATATCAGTATTCAAAGTTAGCAGCACCAGAGCTGAAGACACAACTGAAATAATGGAGATAGTTGCATTGGGCAATCAGTCAATCAGCAATTGAAACAATGTCACATAGTTAGCAAAAAATAGGTAGTTACAGGCATTTCATCTTGTTAGTGTGATTGCTAGAAATGGTTCTGACAAATCGTTTTCATCCTTTGCAGACATTTGGTAACGGTAAAGATGTGGAGCTGATCAAATTTTGAGACTGATTGTACCAAAATTGAAGCAGTGCTGTATAGTCATGGTAAAGAGAAAGGCAGCTCAGAAATTTGATATTGTCAGCATGATAGCTCAGAAGTTATTGGTCAAGTCTTTACCAAACTTTGGGGGCATGTTGTAGAAGTGAAGACCTGGGTGTGTTCAGATTTTGAAGCAAAGCACCAAATTTATCGCAGTATCTCTTAGTAACTGCAAAGAGAAGGATGACATGATTTGAGGCTTATCCTTATGAGCAGGATTTGTTTTTACAGTAAAATCCTGTCATAGTGGACTCGCTTATAACGGAATATCATCTATAACGGACGAGGTTCGCTGGTCCGGCCATGCGCCTTTAAGAACATGCAGAAAAAGCATTGGATATAGCAGACTTGCATATAACAGAATTTCGCTTATAGCGGACAAACAATTTGGTCCCCAGGGCCGCTTTTAGCTATAGTTTTGTTCAGCTATAACAGACTTTAAGGCTCCTGCTCCAAGGTGCGTGGCGTGCCGGTGATATCCAGTGCAGATACGTAGTCGGGATTATTAATAGTCACGCATCTGGTCTGGTAAAGTTGGATTACTACATGTACAATATAATAATCTATACCACAAGTGTGTCTGCTGGGGTGTGGCATGAGTAAACGGTGTCCTGTAGTTGTGTTCTGGGCATACAGCAACTCTGGATATAACGGACTGTTTTGCCAGGTCCCTTGAAGTCCGTTATAACTGGATTTTACTGCACTCTATTTACTGTATTTGATCTTTGATGGATCTTATTGCTGCTTTGCAAATCTGCACCTGATCATCTTCCCCAGCCATCTGCCATCTAAATGTATTCTGTGGGTCTTTTTGCAAAGTTTCCAGGAATGTTGTACTGGTCAGTGATTATAATACTGTGTGGCGTGAGATGATTTTCTGAATATTTTGTAATAAAGTTTATATATTTTTTTCATTGCTAGCCTCACTGCTTGGCCAATTTTATTTGTTGTCCAGTAGCTGGTCAGCAAAATTTATCTTGGGGAGCTCTGTATAACATATGGGGCAATCTCATCGTGTCACATTGGAGAGTTGGGGAGAATGTGCAATTTTGGCTTGTTGTTATATTTTCATTTGCATTGCTTTAAGACAAGTCATGCAGAGTGCTTCAGGGGCTCTGGATCAGTAGTCTGAGGGTGACGATCTGTATTTTATGCTTGAAACAGTGACTAGAAGCACAGCAATTTGCAATCTTTGTAGAAACAAAGTTTTGAGAGGTAGAAGTAGTAAGTGTAAGTGATGCTGTTACCAGCGGGAGAAACTTTGTGGGGCATCTTAAGCATTCGCCACCGGGTGTACTCTCTTGGATGATATTCAGATTGAACTGAAATTCTTCAAAAACACTTAAAACAAGATGTACAAATGAGATGGAACAGTATGACATGTATGTTTCTAGAAGGTAAGGAGCATGCACTGATTACAGTGCGTTGCTGCACCCACCACATGACAAACCACCTCAGGGATGAGAACCTGAGTGCAGCCATGCAGCAGGTGATACCTCAGCACCACACTAGTCCAAATGGACCATTGTGAGGTTTTTTTCTGGTGGCTGGAGTTCCAATCCTGCCACCAACCCCCAAATTATTCCCTGTAAGTTGGAGGACCTCCTTACAGGGCCAGATACAGATTAATATCATACCCAGGATGAAGCAATTGCAGGTTAAGGGCCTTGCTCAAGGGCCCAACAGAGTAAAATCACTCTGGGCATTCACAGGATTTGAACCAGCAACCTTCCAGTTGCTGGCACAGATCCCTAGCCTCAGAGCCACCCCTCTGTTTCTAGAAGTCAATTAAAATTTTTTTTTGGCATACATTTTTTTCCACTTGTTTTTACTAGATCAAAAAGATTAATGTAAATATATATTTAAAGTATAAAATACTTAAGCAATAAGAGCTTTTATGTTGGAATCTGTTTCAGTATCGGCAGTTTTTATCAGAATTGGATCGGAACTGAAAAAAGTGTGTTTGTGTGAGAGACAACAAAATGAGGAAAAACCAGTTGCTCTGTCCAATGTACTTTTCACAAAAGAAAACCCAACCAGGATGTACAGCTGCTCTTAGTTGTGTTCTTTGATATTGCCTGTGTTGTACTCTGTATAATATCCCACTGCATGGTTTTTAACTCTGATGTTGTGCTGTAATTCCAGATGGCAGCCATCCGTAAAAAGCTGGTGATTGTTGGGGATGGAGCATGTGGGAAGACCTGTCTTCTCATAGTTTTCAGCAAAGACCAGTTCCCAGAGGTGTACGTTCCCACCGTTTTTGAGAACTATGTCGCCGACATTGAGGTCGATAGTAAACAGGTGAGGATTGAAATTCACTGTCAGTAACATCTGTACACTCAGCCAGTTCACCATAAGTTCTGTGATAGTGTAGTAGGACCCATCGATAGAATTTATTTATATTGCCGACGACCAGCTTAAATTTATTGGAAATCAAAAAGTTTCAGCCAAGAACTGAAGATCTTAACTGTGACAAACCCCTGTGACAAATCCGAAGACACTGTACAGTTCATGAGGATTACGTTTACGTTTTTTAGCAGATGCTTTTATCTAAAGCAACATAAAATTGAGAAGGTAGAGTCAGACAGTCCCTGGAACCAGGAGGGGTGTTTGGGCCTTGCCCAGGGTAAAATCACTCTTTTGACCCTGGGATTTAAACTGGCAACCTTCCAGTTACAGGCTCAGCATCCTAACCCACTGAGTGTCAAACCACCCCCGGTACTAATTTGTCTTGACAATAAGTGCTGTTTAGAAATAAAACAGACAATAAATGCAGTTCAGAGAGTTAATCCATATACAAATGGTTCAAATCACTAGTCTACACTAGTTTTTGTTTATATTACAAGTAACTCTAAAGTTACCGTGGCCGTATGATGAATCCATTATTTAACTATTTCGACATGCATCCTTTTGGAATAGCAAATACGTAACCATGATAATTCAGTTACAAATGTAAGTTGTGCATAAAGTTAACTGGTATTCTATGAAGGCGGGAGAACATTTTAAAACAAATTTGAGG